GCTGTCCACCCCCTCCAGGGACCAGCCAGCCCACCACCAACCTCTATCCAAGGTTAATGCTGGGGGCGGGTAGGCAGGTGGGCAGGGAAGACGCTGAGGATGAGAAGGCAGAAGGGGAAAGAGGCTCCAGCGGTGCCTGTTCAATCTTGAGGCCTGGGCTGGGGCCCTCCAGCCAGGTTGGGCCCATGTGCTTGGGTCTGGGGAGGGCAGTGCAGCACAGAGGGTCCGGGCTTGGGGGGCCTCTCTCAGACAGTCTGGGTTTCACTCTCCAGGGAAGACAGAAGCCTCTGTGTGTGCAAGCGCTGACCTCATCGTCAACCAGCCACCCCACCCCTCCTGGTCCTTTTAAGAAAAAAAAAATCCTCTCGGGTCTTGGGGTGGGAGTGAGGGCTCTGGTAGGTCTTCGGAAGGAGACAGTGTGTATGTTTCTAGGAGGGGACCCAGAGGAATTGGCAGGGGGTGGGGGTCAATATGTCTGATCCTGAATGGGAGTGGGGGCGTTCTGGGGGGGCCTTGCCCCAACCATCTGGCCACGTGTGCCCCTTCCTGCCCTTCCCCCACTGGCAGCCCTGCCCGCCGGCCTGGCTTGGTGCCTGGCCCCCTGGCACTGGCCCCGGGACCCGCCGCCGACGGTTTCCTGTTTCTCCCGGTGTCGCTGGAGCAGGCTCCAGCTCCCCCCACCCCCCATCTAGCCCCCCTCACACACAGACAGACACTTACACTGTCTCCCTTGCCTCCCCAGGTCTTGACTTGGCTTAGGGGAGATGGATTTCCCCACGTTGAGGGTGGGGCAGGAGGTGGACCCTGGGGGGGCCACCTAGAGGCCTGGACTTGGCGCCCTGACCTGGAGCCACTTCCCTGCCTCCTGTCCCCAGGGTTTGCCTTCCCGGATTGGGCGTACAAGCCGGAGTCGTCCCCTGGCTCGAGGCAGATCCAGCTGTGGCACTTCATCCTGGAGCTGCTGCGGAAGGAGGAGTACCAGGGTGTCATCGCCTGGCAGGGGGACTATGGGGAATTTGTCATCAAGGACCCCGACGAGGTGGCCCGGCTCTGGGGCGTCCGCAAGTGCAAGCCCCAGATGAATTATGACAAGCTGAGCCGGGCCCTGCGGTGAGGAGGGCAGATGTGGACAGCTCCCCACTGGTTGGGGAGCCCCTGACCCATGGGAATAAACTTGGGGTTTGACTCCTGGCTCTTCCAAATCATAGCCATTGACCTTGGGCAAGTCCTAACCCTTCTCTGAACCCATTTGTCAGACGGAAGTGTCCTGAGGAGAGAATACAGTCAGGTGTGGCCTCTAGTCTGGCTCCAGACCTGAGGGGAGAGCTGGTCCCTACCCTTTGGGGACTTGAGTTCTCTTTGCAGCCTAGGTTTCTCAGTCGCCCTTCATGAGCAGCACCTAAGGCATGTCATGGTATGGGGGTCCAGACTTAGGTCCCCTGTGACTGACCATCCGATGGTGTCTCTGCACCCACAGTTACTATTACAACAAACGCATTCTGCACAAGACCAAGGGGAAAAGGTTCACCTACAAGTTCAACTTCAACAAACTGGTGCTGGTTAATTACCCTTTCATTGACGTGGGCCTGGCCGGTGAGTACCAGGGCTGGCAGAAATGGCCTCCGAGGGGGGAAAATGGCCTGTCTGTATGTCCCGGCTAGGCCGGTTGCCTTGACACCATGTCTTTCCTCTCCTGCCAGGGGGTGCAGTGCCCCAGAGTGCCCCTCCTGTGCCATCGGGCGGCAGCCACTTCCGCTTCCCTCCCTCAACACCCTCTGAGGTGCTGTCCCCCACCGAGGACCCCCGCTCGCCACCCGCCTGCTCGTCGTCCTCGTCTTCCCTCTTCTCGGCTGTGGTGGCCCGACGCCTGGGCCGAGGCTCAGTCAGTGACTGTAGCGATGGCACTTCCGAGCTGGAGGAGCCGCTGGGAGAGGACCCCCGGGCCCGACCACCAGGCCCTCCTGAGTTGGGTGCCTTCCGAGGGCCCCCGTTGGCCCGCCTGCCCCATGACCCTGGCGTCTTCCGTGTCTACCCCCGGCCCCGGGGTGGCCCTGAGCCCCTCAGCCCCTTCCCTGTGTCCCCTCTGGCCGGGCCTGGCTCCCTGCTACCGCCTCAGCTTTCCCCGGCTCTGCCCATGACGCCTACCCACCTGGCCTACACGCCCTCGCCCACGCTGAGCCCTATGTACCCCAGTGGCGGCGGGGGCCCCAGCGGCTCAGGGGGAGGCTCCCACTTCTCCTTCAGCCCTGAGGACATGAAACGGTACCTGCAGGCCCACACCCAAAGCGTCTACAACTACCACCTCAGCCCCCGAGCCTTCCTGCACTACCCTGGGCTGGTGGTGCCACAGCCCCAGCGCCCTGACAAGTGCCCGCTGCCACCCATGGCGCCGGAAACCCCACCGGTCCCCTCCTCAGCCTCATCTTCCTCCCCATTCAAGTTTAAGCTCCAGCCGCCCCCGCTGGGACGCCGGCAGCGGGCAGCTGGGGAGAAGGCTCCAGTGGGCACTGACAAGAGCAGTGGCATTGGCATTGGCAGTGGTGGCAGCGCAGGTGGGCTGGCTGAGGGGGCGGGGGCGCTGGCCCCACCGCCGCCGCCACAGATCAAGGTGGAGCCTATCTCGGAAGGCGAGTCAGAGGAGGTGGAGGTGACTGACATCAGCGATGAAGATGAGGAAGACGGAGAGGTGTTCAAGACGCCTCGTGCACCCCCGGCACCCCCTAAGCCCGAGCCAGGCGAGACATCTGGGGCCTCTCAGTGCATGCCCCTAAAGCTGCGCTTTAAACGGCGCTGGAGTGAAGACTGTCGCCTGGAGGGGGGTGGGGGCCCCACTGGGGGCCTTGAGGATGAGGGTGAGGACAAGAAGGTGCGTGGGGAGGGCCCTGGGGAGGCTGGGGGTCCCCTCACCCCAAGGCGGGTGAGCTCTGACCTCCAGCATGCCACAGCCCAGCTCTCTCTGGAGCATCGAGATTCCTGAGGGATGCTCCCCCATCCCCAATGCTTCTTTTGCTGCCTTAACTCCCCTGTGCCCTGGAGGTGAGGGCAGCTCTGGTTTCTTCCCTGCCTCCTCCCTTTCCTCTTCCATGTTTTGTATAAACGTTAATTTCTTTTTTT